CTCAGATCAACATTTTCAGACAAATAAATGGGTGACAAATATTCCAGGTATTAGAAGAATTCAGTATTATTATTTTTAATTTCTGCCCACATGTGTTTGAGGAAATTCCCAGCATCACTCGTTATATATATATATATATAATAATAGGTGGTCACTCGTATTCTAGGAGAGCCGTCTACGAGGGCGGCTAGCCATTCCCTATTGCAAACACTCGCTCAGGCACGTTTGTATTCAACATCCACAGATCCAACCTGTTGTTTATACTGCAACTATGCTTAGCAGACCTTAGCTACAGTTTCTGAGAGAGAGCGTGTTATCTAGAATGATCAACAATCTAAACAAGGCAAGCAGGATCAAACCCTCGATAACTTGCAACTTAGTACTAGCACAGGTATCGACGGCCCCAAGTGTTCCGTCCACCCAATTTCACACACACACACACACACATATATATATATATATATATATATATATGAACCAACAGACCACGTAAAGGATTTAGTCAACCTTGGACCTAACTGTCAGCTCTACAAGAAATACAATAGATTGGATAAAAAACTGAAATTGAAATGTTATATCAAAACATACAAAACATTAAAAAAAAAAGCAGCAACCAAACTAGAAATTAAGGACCTACTCAAATCTGAAGCAATAAAAGACAGACATGACAAAAGAAAAAAAAATCTCGTCGAAGCTCTTAACAAAAACAATTAAAAATCGCGCCCAAGGAGCTACATAACCAAACTCATATAATCTTTTATAAGCAGATAAAATCAATATCTTCGTTGTATTAAATAAATCTGATTACAATTCAAAATTTCAAATATTTGACGACTACAAGAAATTTAAAAATTCAACAAAAATCCTGTTGACCAACTGAAATTGAAAATCAGCAAACTGATCAGAGCGAATATTGCAGGACAAGACAACCTAAAACTTCTCTAAATAATTGATGCCTACAAACCAGGATACATGTACGGAAGAATAAAAATGCATAAACATATTCCCTCTCCGTCCTATCATAACCCAAATCCCTACTCCTGTTTAACAATTAACCAAGATTATTAACCAACTCATCATACATACCCAATGAATACATCATTAAATCAACTCGTGAATTAACCCAAATCTTAAAAAACACAAAAGCCAAATAATGAAACCATAGTATCAAATTAAAGACCATATGGAAAATTACGGTTTTTTTTCTTGATCAATTTTGTACAGAAACTAACAAATTGCTCTGTGAACTTGAGAGAATTAAAATAAAATAAATAGACTTCCCACTGCCTTTTCTAAAAACATTTTCATGGCAACTGCTCTGATAAGCTTTTTTCTATGGTGTCCCGTCTACAGGAATTTAAGTGTGCTAAATGAATGGCATCTAGATCCTACCCTTTTACTGTTGAAATAGTTAAATGTAACCACCACCTCTATTCCAAGAGTTTCGTTTCTCACATTTCCCAACATTGGAACACTGTTCTGTTTACTTGCTTCCCTGAAAAGTACAATCTTCAAACATTTAAATGCAATGTCAATCGCCATCTTCTGCCATCTTATATCCCGTTCATCTTTTATCCTTTCCTCAATCACCCCACTCCCCATACGCAGATTTTGTTTCGGGTGAAATGATTAAAAAATTGCCATGATGTTTCTAGGGAAATCAAAGCCAACAATGCAGAACAAGGCAATTTAAAACTTCCCCAAGTAACTGGTGACTGCAAACTAGGATTCATGTACGGAAGAATAAAAATACATAAACCTAATTTCCCTCTTCATCCTATCATATCCCAAATCCCTACTCTGGATTATTAGTTAACCAAAATCATTAATCAACTCATTACGCCATACATTCCTAGTAAATACAGCATTAAATCAACTCACAAACTAATCCAAATCTTTAAAAACAAAAAAGCCTAATAATGAAACCATAGCCTCATTATTTTGTTCAAAGTTTATTTACCAATTTTCCTGTTAGAGAAACGATTGATCTTACTTTTTATAAAACGCAGATTGTGTGTGTGTGTGTCTGTACGTTTATATATTGGATCGGATTTCCTACATTTTTCAACCGATTTCAACAAAACTTCACAGAACTACATAAAATTACCTTGTGGTGGTTCTAACAGCGTCAAAAATGGGAAAAATATAATTGTTTTTGCACAAAATCAATTTGAAAATACGATTAAGAGACATCGTGAAAATGGAAGGGGGACAACTCACATCGGGTTGTTTGTGTGTGTGGGTTCCTTTAAATATGGGATCGGATTTCCTATATTTTTCAGCCGATAAAACATAAATTTTTTCTTTGGCAGGTAGTGTTTCTTATTCTCTTGCACACTCTTTTCTTTATTTTTAACATTCAGAATGCTTAAAAAATTCCATTTACAAGACAATTATTTATAATAAAATTCTATTCAATCGGTAGACTCATAACGATTGAAAACAATGTTTTTGTTTGAGTTTGGGTTTGACCAATTCGTAAAAAAAAAAAAAAAAAAAC